ACCTATTCTCTCTAGTTTTATAAGTAGGCTGGATTTGCATAAGGTGTACGCTTTACTCAAGAAGAAGTAGGCAGCGCTGACATTTCGCCCAGAATTAACTGCTTCTGTCCAGAAGTGTGTGCAGTCGATTATCTGCGTACATGTGGAAGAGCTAGGGAGAAAGCCATGCTGTTCGGGAGGGACGCTCTGGAGTAGAGAGACCCACTCTAGCAGTTGTAGGTCGGATATTTGAAATGAATTTAGATTCAGTGGTTATAGGGGCAGATGTCACAATAGCATGCCTCCAAACAGATGGGATTTGACCTAGAAGAAAAGCGATATTGTATGCACGAGCAAGAGGCACGGAGAGCTTATTGCGAACGTTTTGAAAAGGAGTTGCGGTAGTCCATCACAAGTCAGGGAAGCCGAATATTCTGGAGATAGTGAATGGTATTATGCACCTTTTGTGTTAGTTATGAGTTACCACTGGAAACTAAAATTTTATTCGTGAAGGGCAGGGTTTCACTGCTTCCAAGAAGAGGAGCAGAGGTTTTTTCAAAATAGTGCGCGAGGGCTTCTGCCTTGTCCTAATATGCAGAATAGTTTTCGCCGCCGTGTCCCTCAAAAATATGAGAGACTGGCGGTTATTCAAGGAACTTCTTTGAACATGCTGCTAATAAGCGCTATGAGTGATGGACCAAATTTCTGCTAATTTCAAGAAAAACATTGGAATTCATGGGAACATCGGCTAGGCAGAGCAGCCTTTCACGTTGCTGGATTAATTTCACCATGTGCCGAAGATAGCTTGATTACGCCGTTATCTTCGTTTTGAAGGGACCAGTCGATCAATTATGGCATGAGTGATGCTGCAAAACCGCTTATAGATGTCTGAATTGTGGTAATTCGAAAACATCATCCACTTCATATGTGTGATGTGACATGCAGTAGCACCTTATTCATTTCACTGAAGTCCCTTGAGACTTGCGCTACCTACCCTTCTGATGGTCCACCAATGAAAATGTCACAATTTTGTGATGGGAGGACTATAGCGATTCGAGGGAGCAGAGCATAGATTTGGGAAACACGATTTCGACGTGCTAGGACAGTTTTGTCAAGCCTGGTGGGGTCAACGAGCTGTGCAAGTGATAAAGCATCAAATGTCGATAACAATTTTTCTGCCATAGCGGACCCAGCAGTGTGACTTTTCCAATCGATATCAAGGTTGAGGTTTCCCCAGCGGACCCTGCAACTGCGCGGGACTAACGCTAAGGAGAAGAAGATCAAGTTTCAGGTCTCCCATCATGCTGTGGAAAAGGGGCACAACACCCGTCAGATCAACTATGATCGATACGAGGTGCTCATCGTGGGCACTAGTGGTATTAGGAGGACGACAAATCAATAGAAAGCGGTGCCTGGATGGTAGGAATGTGTCAGACATATAATACTTCATCGGACAGTAAGCCACCGGTATGGATTCGTATTTCTTCGGAAGATACGATGCAGTGGATCAGTGCGCATACCCCTCCACCTTTATCATTTGTCAAGAACTTTGCTACTCAACGCGAGCGTTAATCCATGGGCATGTGGAAGTCAAGGTAGGAGGACGTTTTGGAAAAAAACGAGGAGGTACTTTGTTTTCATTTGGTTGAAGGAATGTCAGATGCGAGTTAGCTTTTGTAGAGTACATAAATGTGTTCACCGTTGTATTCCCTTCTGATTCACCTCACGCTCTTAATTGCTCAAATTTTTCCCTTTTTGGCGCTCCTCACAGGTCATCCAACTGCGAATCTAGATCTCCTTGAAGGCAGGAATGGCTTGCAGCTTACGGGTTCTTAACACAATTTTAAAAATACCAGGTTTGCTCCGCCCGCTATCGCGCGCATCACAGGGTAGGGAGGAACCACGGAATAGCAGCATGACGTACTCCATTAACCACCTCACTATTGAATGTGTTATACCTTATACCCCTTCTCTCCGGCGCCATGTTCTCTCTCCCTTTCTCCTCTCCCTTCCCTCCCTTTCTCTCTCCCCCTCCCTTCCAGCCTCCCCTTTTTTGCCCCTTCCCTCTACCCCTCTCCACCCTCCCCCCCCTCCCCCCGCTCATCCGGCTGCCACGGCAGCACCATGTAGAATGAGACTGAGTGTGCTCGATCGGTGTTTATATAGCCGCTGTGGGTTTATCATGATCATGACATATCATGATCATGACATCAACATCACGAAGTGTTGCCCTTCGTACTCCCTGGTTTTGTGAGCCGGACGGACAGAACGACACACGCACACACACCGACAAACCGACACACCAAAGTTCTGGTTTCATATAATGAAGTGATAATGTCGAGATAAAAAGATGAATTTTACAAGCCTGCGTCTCCTTGAATCACTGAGCCCATCCAGGAGATCTCTAGCGGAAGGGTTTCGATGTCAAGAGCATAGAGGACACTAGTATTGAAAAAAAATTGTGTATGGTCTGATATAGGACCAAACTTTTCCCGGCTTTCGGAACACCATGCAAAACTGTACGACGCTGGCGTTCGTCCGCCTCAACTACTCCACGCGAAAGCGAAGACGGTGAGCTCACAAATTGTTCCAAAAGTGGAATCCCTTTTGGTGCCTTTCTGGCCTATGAATTGGGGCCGCGAATTTTTCAAGAAGATTAATACTGTCAGAACTGAGAAATGGGAAGTTCGATGCATTAGTAGCCACGGGCGAGAAGACAATTCGTTGTTGAGGCAGAATTGGAATTGAGCTGGGATCGATCAACCGATCGCGGCGGGTGCAGGCATACGAATATGTATGTAAGCCACATGCATATTGTGGCAGCTATGTGTGCCACACTCATCACTTTCATTTCTTTTCTTGCACGCGCGAGTTCTTCCCAGCTTCTTGGTGTTTATTCTGAATAGCAAACACATTGAAGGAACGCTCAAGACTCCACCAGTACTCGTAAAGGAACACCGTATTGGGAAAAGCGCAGCAGCATAGCAATAACGTTCGGCAAGTATTTGGTTGAAGAGCACGACGGGCACACTTTTGATGTGAACTGCTACATTCTGGCGTACGCGACTGAGATTTCGGTCAGGAGAGGACTGCACCCCGCATCTATGCAAGAATTCCTAGAATGATCGCTCGCCTCCAACAATGCCGTTTGCACCAAATTGCGAGCTACTGGCGTAAACAATGAGGCGTACTCATTCGTTAACCATTACTAACTCGAGCAGGTTGTTCCCCTCCCGCGATAGAAATTGGTGAGTTTCATTTCCCCGTTCGGGTTCTCGTTGATTAGTCTAGTATTCCGCCAAAACGCTAAGGAGAAGAGGCCGTTGAGCAAGGCCCTCATAGTTTTCGGTGGGAGTTGATCAACAACCTTAGTGCCAAGTGTCCCAATGACCCAATTCGGCGAAACTTGGCATGACTTTGCAGCGGCGGACCACCACCTCTATCCACATTGGCAACGACTTCAGGGAGTTATTTCCATACAAAATAATGACACCAACAAGTCAATAAGAAGGGTAAATGGAGTAGCAGTCTAGAGCAGCTTCACCTTTTGGTTCGAAAATTATGAATGTGATAGGTGAGTACCTGTCAATGCTCCTACCACTCTCACGCGTCTAGACCAGCCAGGTTGTTAGTTAAAGATGGAGACAAGGCCTCGATATGAAATGCCTCACGAGAGATCTTCTAGTATGAGCGCGCCACTTTTTGCCTGCAATACCATGGGAACCTGATCTTTGGGGCTAAAGTAAAGAACGTCACGCCTGTAGATGCGTCACACTTGCATACATCCACGGTGATCAGATCCCAGAGCGGTTGTATGTAATAGCGTCATAGATTTGCAAAGAAGTTTTCCTCTCTATTCTTAATCTTTACAATTATAGTTATGACAATTTATTTGAGGAAACCACAAGTCTGAATACTGAGGATTCTTCTAGACGTAGCGATACTCCGACTTGGTTACTGTAGCGTAGATTCGGTTGTAAGTTATAATGGGGACAAGGTTCGAATGAGATTTGAGTACAGTGCTGGCATCGTGCTTTGAGCGGAACCTAAACGAGGTCCCTAGAAGTTATTGAGTAGTACAGAGATTTTTATTAACATATACATTATTACATGCCTGTAACCAGTGCGACGTTGATCCGCATGTGTTTTGATTTCAACCCCCGCATACGTGCGTCCATCAATAGCAACTCCATCAGGGAAGTCCACAAATTTCACTTCAATCTTTTTACCTGCGCAGGCGCCTTGAAATTTAATCTAGACTTTCACTCAATATAATTGCTTTCTGAGAACCATGTACCTTGATCCAATAGTTGCGTTTCATGAAATCTTCTCGCGGAGTGAGGCCAGCCTTGCGTGCCTGATCCGTCTCCAAGCGGTTTCCATCTTAGGTTCGTCCTCGGGTGAGTTTCAGTACTCGCAACCTGAGTGGCTGGAAGAGACCCGCCTAGAAGCGACGATGTCGACGACTTAGATCACAGGAAAAGAGCTGTTAGCCGCTTTGGTCGAAGTACGTCCGCCAGTTCCATCAGGTGCAGAATGCATATGTTTAGCAATCAGCGAGGATGAGGCAATCCGTTGCTTTAATCACCGATGTGTTCTTTTACCTTTGCAGCATCTGAAACGTTATTCTCTCAGAGCTACGTGGCACGATGCAAAATCATCCGAGGATACTGCCTCACCTGTAATCATATGGCCTGCGTGTTAATCATGAGCAGATCGTAGCACGAAATGAAGCGTGATCCTAGAGTCTCCGTGTACAACACATCCTTTGGCACCATGGTAGGCTTTTTGCACTGAAAATTGGAGTATTGGTTTCCCCAGTGTATAGTCCGCACTCATCCCTCCATAAGTATCCGACCTTGTGGCTCCGTATTGCATAAGGCTACCGTAGTTATAAGTTAAACCATAATTGTTATCAGGGTCAACCCTGCGTTGCGCAAAGAACAACGAGGGGGTCGTATTCAGCCGACCGAAAAGGGAGGGGGTCGTATCCACAAACGGGCTGCAAGACGGCTTGAAAAGTGCAGTGTCCGGGAGTGCACTTTCAGCCTCTAATGTTCTCCAGGAGCTCTGCACGCTGTCGGAGAGTCACACAGACATGAGCTCCATGGGAGCATTAAAGCATGCAGAGCACTATAAGTCTCACCATCAGCTTATTATCCTTAAGCGACGCTATCCGGACGGCGCTTTTGCTCCGCGGCATAGATCAAGAGTACAATAGACAATAGCCAAAAACTTTGTTACAGTGTAGTGCAAAAACATGGTCTGTCTTCGATGATGAAACATTCCTGAAATCCCGAGGAGAACAAAGTGTAGAGCAGTTCATGGGAAAGTGAAACAAGAGTGCCATATAACAGCACAATACAACTCAATCAGGATACTAACACCTTCTTCAGGAAAACAGAAGACTTTCAAATGCGAGTGCGAACTCTGCCCACAGATAGGTGCACGGCGTATACCCGAGGCGTTTTCCCATAAAAACGCCTCCTCTGTCAGCGGCCGTAAGCAGACAAACTTTCTGAAGAGAGTTTTGATGCTTTCAAATAAAATCTAAGCGAAACAAAGTGTAGCGAATTTGCTGAATTGAGTTCTAGAGACGCCGTAGGAAAATTGAGGCAGAAGAAGGAATTTCAGGGAAATTTCACAGTTGTTATGAAGTACTCTTCGAGTGGATTCCAACAATCTTTACCGCTTCTCATCACATTAATTTCAAAGGAAGTTATGGGCCTTTAAAGACTGCATAGTCGCGGTCCAGGAAAAAGGCTTGAAAAAAATCAAGGTGGAATTGACGGAACAACGGGACTATTTTTTGAGCGAGTGATTATTTCAAGAAGTTTTAGCACTTATTCGAAAGCTCTAATCCTCTAGTTTCTAATTAGCCTTAGACATCTGCAAAATGTTGAGTATGAAGAAAGTTATTAACGTTTGAATGTCGAAAACTCGCGCCTTCTCAAAAATCGGACCCCAAACCACCCAAGAACGGAACAACGGGACTATTTTTTGAAAAAATGATCGCTGGAAAATTTTCAGGTGCTTGTTCGAAAGCTCTAATCTTCTAGTTTCTAATTAGCCTTAGACATTTGCAAAAAGTTGATTATGAAGAAAGTTATGAATGTTTGAATGTCAAAAACTCGCGTGTGCACAGAAAACGGAACAACGGGACGATTTTTTGAAATATTGAACATCCACAACATTTCAAATACTCCTCAGGAAGAAAACTATTTATATTTTCAAAATTTTGGTGTCCGATTTCATGAAACAGCTTCTGAAAGAAAATATAACCTTCTGAATGGAGGGGTTTGGATTGCAATGTAATTGCTACAAGGTTTAGTTTTTCAGATTATAAGGTAAGGAAAGTTGAGAGATCGAAAAAATCCTGGTGGGTTTCTGAAAGTAGAAATCTTTACGATTAAAATGATGTATTGGTTTACGCAAAAATTTGGAAATTCCTTCTATTTAATGAATAAAACTTCATTTGCCTCGATTTCCTCCTCTGAGCGAGACAGAGCGCGCGGATTGACCACGGTCCACCACTTCTCCATGTTGGTGACTGCCATCATTGATCATTGATGAGCATTAAATTATGTGAAAGACATGATAGTTAATATGGGGGGTCGTACCGATACCCCCGAAAAGGAAGGGGGTCGTAAAAATTTGGGAATTTGCGCAACGCAGGGTTGACCCTGGTCCATTCGTCCCTGTCGCGTGCAAGAGTTGTCCAGTGGATCCTCCTCGCTCGAGGGACACGAAGTCCTTCATTCCTTTCGTTCAGAGCTTTCGTGAAGAAGTCTGACCATCGGGCCGGCGGTCGTCCAGGTGTTCGTTTGACGTCCCGAGGGATCCAGTCGGGTAACCGCTGAGTCGCATGACGTGTCGGGCCCACCTTATCTTGATAGTTCCTTGGCGAAAACGGCAGCGCGTCCCTGATCTTCGATCGTTGGCGTAGTTCCGAACTCCGGATTCCCCTCTGCACTTGCGTGTATAGGGTTACTCCTAGCATCGTCCTCTCGACAGCGCGTTGGATAACGCTGACCGCATGCTCGTCCTGCCTGCGCAGAGTCCAAGTCTCTGAGGCGTAGGTTAGGGCAGGAAGGACAGCGGAATCGAAGAGGTGGGCACGGAGCCGGATGTTCTTCGTCTTCTTCACTACTCCCTCGATGTTCTTGGCTCCCCAAGCCGCTCGTTTCCTCCTGCTCAGCTCTGGAGCTAGATCGTTCATCATATTGATTTCCCGACCTAGGTACACGTAGCTGGAGCATTCGGTGATGTTCGTTCCGTTGAGCGTGAATGGGGCATCAGGAACCAATCCGTTTCTCATAAACATCGTCTTCGTTAGGTTCAGCTGTAGACCAACCTTACCACAGGCGCAGTCGAAATCAGCCAGCATTCGCTCCGCTTGCTCGATGTTCGGCGTTATAAGAACGATGTCGTCAGCAAAACGAAGGTGGTGTAGTTGCCGGCCGTCGACCTTCACTCCCATGTCTTCCCATTCCAGTTGACGCATGACGTTCTCGAGAGCGGCGCTGAAGAGTTTGGGCGAGATGGTGTCGCCCTGTCGAACCCCTCTCTTG